TATTCTCATAATATCCAGATCAAGATTAAAGTGAGACAATCTTGAGGAAAAACTCCAGAGGTCAGGCCCATCAGCTGTACATACAAACTGCAGTGTCAGTTTCTGTGACTGTCACTGTTTCTCAGATGGGTCAAAGGTCACATGGCCATATAAAAACTAGAAATGAAAAATATTTGCACTGTAATCACACTCTATTTAGTGTTTGTTTGAGTTGATCAGATCTAAAGGCACTTCCTTCACTGACAGTCTGTGTGTGTGTGTGAGAGTGCGTGCATGCGTGAGTGTGTGTGTGTGTGTGAGAGAGTGTGTGTGTGTGTGCGCGTGACTGCGCGTGTGAGTGCGTGTGAGTGAGTGAGTGAGAGTGTGTGTGTGTGTGTATGCGAGTGAGTGAGTGAGTGAGTGAGTGTGTGTGTGTGTGTGTGTGTGTGTGTGAGTGAGAGTGAGAGTGTGTGTGTGTGTGTGTGTGTATGCGTGTGTGTGTGTGTGTGTGAGTGAGTGAGTGAGAGTGTGTGTGTGTGTGTATGCGAGTGAGTGAGTGAGTGAGTGAGTGTGTGTGTGTGTGTGTGTGTGTGTGTGAGTGAGAGTGAGAGTGTGTGTGTGTGTGTGTGTGTGTGCGCGTGCGTGCGTGTGTGTGAGAGAGTGTGGGGGTGTGTATCTCATGTGACGCTCTGAAGGCCGCTGGAGCTGCTGCTGGTTGAGTGAAGCATCAGCGCGTGTTCTGCGTGTCGAGTCTGATCCAGTGCAGGCCGTGTCGTGTGTATCGCACTAATGCACTCATGGAGGAGGTCAGACTCAGAAGACCAACAGCTGAATCCAGCTCTGGCAGCAAACCTGCAAAACCACAACCACTGTGTTCACTAAACAGGAAAAGTCAAGAACAATCCACACACACTCAACTCATTCACTTTTAAATGAGTATAAAAGATCTACAATAAAATGTCTTAAACTCTGCGATTAATATTTGCCATTCAACCCGTAAAAACATAACACTCAACTCAGCATCTGTTTTGTTTTCCAATTCCTAATGTAGCTCTGCTAATGTCTGCTCCCCACATCATATGGTTTGTGTGCCCAAACCAGCTCCACAAAGACAGAGTTTCTTTCTTTCTTTTTAAATAAAAGTAATCATTTTAATACTTATTTCTCATGATAATGAAAATAAACTTGAAAAAAGGGGAAAACTGAACTGACAGCTAAGAGATATTAAATGTTTAAAATCAAATGTGTATCATGTTCAGAGAATCTCACTGAATGTGTGTGTCATTTTAATGGCAGCACTGAAACACATCCTATTTATCAAATCTCATCTGACTGATGGTTTATATCATCTCTGAATGTAAACGATCCTATCGCACAGCTCTAAACTCATCAATGTGACCAGAAGACATTACGAGATTACAAATATTAACCACATGATTTTCTGTGAAGCTGCTTTGAAACAATGTATTAAGAAAATCACTACAAATAAAACTGATTTGACTTGACATGAAGCGAGTATGAAAGAGTGAGTTAAATAAAGCTCTTATAGTGAAGTATTTTAATGGACTGATGGCACGACTAACCCTGAACCTATTTTGAACAGAGCTTCTCATCTTCATCATCAGCTCTGCTTCCTCTGACCTACCGCTGCCTCTGAGAGCGATCTCGTCCGCCTGCTCCCACGTCTCGTGAGCGCTCAGGAAGAGTGTCGTGATGCTGACGTACGCCGCTGCCACCTGCTGGATGGGCTGAGGAATGACCAGAGACGAGACGGCACTCCTGTGAAGGGGACAAACACAGCCTGTGAGGAGCACGAAGAGCACCGTTCTGAATCAGTGCAATGCGATGAGATGAGGACGCTCACTTGGACACAGACGGAGATGCAGACCACGACAAGCTCTGAAAATAAACACAAGACCATGAGGCTGATGTCAAACTGTCTGAATCAGTGTGAGAATAAACTGCACAACGCTGCCGATCACACACTTTGAAATGATCTGTGAGCGTCCGCGAGTATTTGAGCGCCGCATCTCGTCTGTAGCGGAACATGGCCATCTGCAGCAGAGACTGGCATCGCATGCTGTGGGACAAACACACGTCACACCTGTACAGGTTTACGTCTCAATCTCTGCGGTGTCAGTTCTCACCACAGGACGCAGAAATCTCTCTCGTGGGCGGCGGCTGACGGATCCGTGTAGCTCTTCAGCTTGAGAATAAACCTGAACAGACATCATCATGAGCCAGTCGCAAGCTTCACTAGCGACACACTGAACACGTGGAGCGGTTCTCACCTGATCAGGTCCACCGTCTCCGAGAACATGGTGTAGGCAGATTTGGGCGTCTGTGGCTCCGTCTCCATGGCGACGCCGCTCTCCGCGAACGACAGTGCAGCCTCCAGATAGCACAGCGCTTTAGCCATCTTATCCGGCTGAGGAACACAGAAACACGGTCAGATCGAGCGTGGAGCTCACCACACAGCACTGCATCAGAGTCAACGAAAGGCTTGATAAACACCGTAGCATCTGCTTTGTGCTTCAGCTTTTTGGCTTCCTTCAAATGATCTTCCACTGAGAGTTTCCTGGGAATCAGAGGTCAGAGGTCAATCACAGAAACACTATGCGCGTGACGGAGCCTAGAAGACACTCGATGTTTATGTTTAGGCTGACATTCATCACTCGTATCACATCGCTCTATGATAAAGCACTGTGTGATTCAGTGTAAAGCTGCAGTGAAGTCATGTGGGCTGTGTGAATGAGCCTGCGGTGCACGACACACACCTGCGATCAGGCGGCAGCAGTGCTCGTGGACACGCTTTCTCCGGGAGCTCCTTGCGGCTCTTGCAGGTTTTCTGTGTAATAAAAAGAGTTATTTACACCAGAGAGGAAATCCCAAAAGCACTTAGAAATAAGGATGTCTGCAGTACCTTCCCATGAGTTGGCTTCCTTCAAATGATCTTCCACTGAGAGTTTCCTGGGAATCAGAGGTCAGAGGTCAATCACAGAAACACTATGCGCGTGACGGAGCCTAGAAGACACTCGATGTTTATGTTTAGGCTGACATTCATCACTCGTATCACATCGCTCTATGATAAAGCACTGTGTGATTCAGTGTAAAGCTGCAGTGAAGTCATGTGGGCTGTGTGAATGAGCCTGCGGTGCACGACACACACCTGCGATCAGGCGGCAGCAGTGCTCGTGGACACGCTTTCTCCGGGAGCTCCTTGCGGCTCTTGCAGGTTTTCTGTGTAATAAAAAGAGTTATTTACACCAGAGAGGAAATCCCAAAAGCACTTAGAAATAAGGATGTCTGCAGTACCTTCCCATGAGTCTCTGCTTTCTTCTGCTTGTCGTCAGGAGCCGCGGCTGAGCGACGCTCGCGTCCCGAGTCTTTGTGTGGCTCCTGAAGACCACCTGACCTGTGTTTCACACTCTTCTTCTTCATCATCATGTCACTGTTCCTCACGGCTCTGATGGAAACAAGTGAAGAGCGTTCCGAGCGCGTGATCGGCTTCATCAGACAGAGACTCTCAGGTACTTTCCACTCAGCATCAGAAAAGTACTGGACGCTTACGTCACATTAATGACTGTCTGAAAGTCACTGCAGTAGCTCACAATAAATGACACTAGATATTTTGTAAGGAAAGATGCACAAACACACTTTACAAACGTTAGTTTCTGGCTGGTGGATCATGTTGATACACCTTTAGTTTTCAAAATAATCATCCAAGAGTGACATATAAGCACAGACATCCCATCATCATCATCATCATCATAACATTTATATTATATGTTTCTATTTATACGGGAAAAAAATCTTAAATGACCCTGTATTAAATGTATTTTGGAGACGTGGAAAGCAAGTATGTAAAACACGTCAGGCTCTGATTGGCTGTGTGTTTCTGTGACTCACTCTGATTGGTGGAGGCTTTGCTGAGAGGAGGAAGACTGTTTTCCCTCTTTGTCTAGTTTCTGTTTCTTCTTTGAAGACTTTTCATCCCTCTCCATCTGCAAACACACACACACACACACACACAACACACACACACACTCACAACTCAAAATATGTCACATAAATAAAATCAGGTGAACATCTGATTCTGAATGAATTTCAAGATATTCTGAAATGGTTGATGCAAATTCATAAGTACTGCTCAGCAACAGTTAGTTAACCAGTTAGTCAGGCAGGGTTAAGGGTCAGAGCTCACCGCTCTCTTGCGTCCTGGCGCGCTGTTGCTCTCTGCGAGAGGTGGAGCTGATCTGGGCTCCCGAGGGATTCTGGAGAGCAGATTCAGCTCTATCTTCACCAGCAGCGGCTCATGTGTTTCTTTCCTGTCTGTTTGTTTGCTGATGTTGTTGTCTGTTGTCGTTCTCTTCTGCTCTGGGTGATGTGCCGTTTTCTTTCTCTTGTGTTTCGCTCTGTGTGTGGATGTGTTTTCAGCACGCTGGGAAATCTCCATGCCAGTGCTTTCTAACAGCAGATCCTCACACCTGTTCTTGCTCCCCACAGTCTGTCTGTGATCGGACGCTTTGCCGCCATCAGTCGGGTCACTATGGCAACTCTGTGAACCAGTCCTTTCAGAGGAATCATGGCAGTTTGGCCTGATGACATCACATGCGCTCCTAGGGTCCTGCTGGTGATCCCTCCTTTCTAACCATCGTCCTAACTGCCAGTCACTCTCTTTCTGTGGCTAAACACACACACACACACAGGTACACACTCACACACATGTACACACACAGGTACACACACACGTACACACACAGGTACGTACACACACACACACACATTAGGATGGTGAGAAATTGAGGATGAGGATGCTTGTTCTTTCTCATCCTGACAATAATAAGTTTTATACAAGATGCTCCTGTTTCTCATTTACATTCATATTAATGTGCATGTGTGTGTGTGTGTGTGTATGTACCTGTGTGTGTGTGTGTGTGTGTGTGTGTGTGTGTGTGTACCTGTATTGTACACACACACACACACACACAGCATGTAATCACCTTCATGTGAACTAGAGACAAAGATCTGATCTGATCTGATACTCACTGAGATTCCCGCTGAACTTTGTCTGATGATTCATCAGCTTCTAGTGAAGAATAACACAACAAATTAAAGGCACATAAACAGACTTCCACAATACACATACACACACACACACACACACACACAAACACACACTTACTGAGAGTCGGGAATCCATGTGTCTCCTGTCAAAGCAGTTACAAGAATGAATGTTCAAAAAAGAATGAGCTCAAGAATGAGTTCAAATGCTAGTGTTTCAGTGACCAACTAAACCATTTATTCTGATCTAACCTCATTAGTGGAGGAGAACTTAGGCGGCTCGTCTGTGGTTGGCGTGCAAATGGTCGTCAGTAGTGGAGGCCATGAGGTCATTTCCTGTGTGTGAGAGAGACACTGAACTCCTGCGGCTTTCCTATCAATCGAGACTGTCCCAAACTCAACTGACCTGCAGAATGTCCCCCACCCGCGCTCCAGACACAATCTGCAGACGGACAGAGAGAGAATGTGGCCTTGTTTAACATTTGGATGATGAAACACACAGGGTCAGTTTCGCTCTCACTGTAATAACGTCTGCGGATAAACACTCACATCAGCAGACTGCAGAGCGGGAAGGTTTGGTTTGCTGCTCTCCTTCAGGTCCTGTAAGTGCTCATAAGACTCCAATGAGGCCTTCAGTTCGGGAGAACCGCTGGTCACCTGATCCTGACCGACCGTCGGCCTCACATATGCTGTGGGTTTCTTGGCGTTGGCCAGTTTACCGTGCAAATTCAGCGGGAGCACGTGAGTCAGCGGAGGCGGGCCGCTGTCCGAGTCACTGGACTGTAGAGGGGACAGTGGCTCCACCGGGGCCGGTAAACTGTCCCAGCTCTCACCTGAAGGAGGGCCGGAGTCTGAAGCGGCTCTGGAGCGATCCGTGCGTCCCAACTGCTCGTCCACGTGAGGGAAGTGCGCAGGATGCTCATTAAGCGCAGGACAAAGTTCCTCAGGTCCGTCATATCCTTCCTCATAATTACCCAGCATCCTCTGGATGAGACTGGACAGCTCATCATCTTTGATTCTCTGCAAAGTAAATCAGACAAAGGAATAAGTGGCTTTATGCTCCGTGATACTGCAGCACTCACATCTAGGGTTAGCGGCTCAGGCGTCTTTGATTATGAGACGTCAAGCTCCCAAAGCACTGACACACAAGACATCTATGTTTACTAACATACACCAACCCATCCGGTATGACAGTACACCGATATATAATGTGAATATAATGAATCATAGTAAGTTTCAGCGTACAGCTGTGGCGTCCTGTGATCTTCCAAGTGAACACACAGAGTAGTGAACACACACCCGGAGCAGTGGAGCAGTTGGGGGTTCGGTTCTTGCTCAAGGGTCTCTCCTCAGTCGTGGTATTGGGCGTGGAAGAGAGTAGAGGTCTGCATTCGCAATCCGACCAGATTTTTTGCGCCACGGGATTAAATTCCAGAATAAAACGTGGTAGCGGTCGTTAACTCTGGTGTAATTTGAACGGGAGCGGGCGGTCTAACAATATCCCGTTCCCAACGTCCATTCAGAACAGCATATCTGCGCTTTATTCTTATCGACCACCGGTACAGCTTGCGCTCAGGACTGTTATGCACGCGCTGCACGCATGCTTTAAACGTCACGCGTTTTATTTGCGTGGTCTGTGCGCAGCATGTGCATAACGATGCTCAGAGCAGGCTGTACCTGTGGTAAATATACGGCCCTCAGACAGAACAGGCAGGTTGTCGATGAGTGACAGCAGAATAAGGATGGAGCAAAGTGTGGATGCGCTGTCCTTGAAGGATGTTCAACTCAGTTTTGTTTATATTTTGCTTAGCCTATCATTTTAAATGAAAGATGTTTTATTCATGTACTTTTCTCTGCGACACTTTTCCTACTGTGTTAACAGAAAAATGTCAAACGAATTTTGACAAGACTAATAAAAATAGCTAATAGGCTATTTTTGTACAACCTACATTTATATATATTTTTTCTCTCTGCACTTTTTCCTATTGTGTTGTAAATGTTAAACGAATTGTATCCTGACAAGACGAATAAAAATAAGAAATACAATTTTTGTACAACATTTTTATTTTCTCTGACACTTTTTTCTGTGTTGCATAACATTTTTAAGACGAATTTTGTGTCTTAAGATAATTCATATAAATTCAAGTCAAAGTCAATAAATTCAAGACTCTTGACAAGACAATAAAATAACATACAATTTTAGCCTATCTCTCTTTCTTTCAGTAGCAGAAATTTAAATGTGAGATTCTGGAAACGAGATCTAAATTTAGCGGGAACGGTCAGGTCGGGAATAAAATTATTCCAAGCGGACAGCGGGTGAACAAAGAGTAAATATATAGCGGGAGCGGAATATAACCTTGCGGGAGCGGGACTAAAAAAATAGTCCCGCGCAGACCTCTAGAAGAGAGCGCTATTATTCACTCGCCCCACCTACAATTCCTGCCGGACCTGAGACTTGAACCCACGACCTTTGGGTTACAAGTCCGACTCTCTAACCATTAGGCCAGTAGGACTATACGTTATTTGGATATTTAGTCAAAACAATCTGTTAAAACTGAGTTTGTTGCAAAGAACTGAATAAAAATAATATATTGATATTTAATATTAATATATTTTCTGTCCAATTTTATTATACTATTTAAGAAAATAATACATAATTATTAAAAAGCATTTTCAGTTTCAGTTTCGGTTTTTGGCCAAGTGCATCCAGAATTTTCGGTTTCGGCCCAGAATCTTCCTTTTGGTGGATCCCTAATTTATACGCCTCTGCACGGCGTCACGCTGGACATGTTCATAGTAGAACAATTCACATGAAGAATCGTCACGCAAACAGAGAACAGGATTTAACATCTGCTCAATGTGCTCATCAGACTGAATCTAGTCCAGCTTATGTAGTCATCGAGAGTTTGAGCTCATATAGTGACTGTCAAACACACACTTCACTTCTCTCACCAAAGACCTTGAGAACACAAACACACTCTGAGTTTCACATCATCACATGATGATCACACTCACACACACACCCCAACACACACACACACACACACTCGCTCTCACACACACACACACACACACACGCACACACTCTCACTCACACACACACACGCACACTCTCTCACTCTCACACAACCACACGCACACTCTCTCACTCACTCACAAACACACGCACACTCTCTCACTCTCACACAAACACACGCACACTCTCACTCACGCACACACACACACACACTCTCTCACACACACACACACACACTCTCACTCTCACGCATGGTGTATTTTTATTTGTTTTGTTAATAAAAGTTCTATGTTTTATATATAGGCTAATGTGAGTTTGACGTTGTATTTTGTTGTTGCATTCAAGCAATTGACGCCAAACTGCCTTTAATTCAAAAGTGAACGCAAAATGCGCACGCCGCTTTTACAAGCTATTTAAAAGCGAAGGAAAGAGAGAAAAAGAGGGAACGCCCCGCCCCCGCAGTGATACCAGTATTACCGGTGTTTAGTGTTGTCACGGTTCCAATACCAGTGAAAATCCACGGTTCTCGGTACCAATTTCGGTACCAAAGCAAAACACAAAAGCATGCTAATTGAACATTGACTACTTTCATTGATTTTATTTGTTAGATAACATGACCTAATAATAAACAATAGTTATTTATTCCAGCAATTCTTCTTCTTATGGTTAATTTCAAAGTTTAATCTGTTAAAATTATTTAATGCACAATGAACAAACATGAATGATCAAGTGTTTGTATTAAATAACATT